CGCGCACGCGGTGGCCAATCCGCGACCGGCACGCCATTGGCCGGAATGTTTCAGAAGGCACAGGGGCCAATATAAATAAGGCGTCTTTCCGACGAGCTGTACCCCGCGTTCGCACTTTGCGAATAGGGTGGTTGTTTTTTCCCAGAACACGCTTCCTTTTCTTCTCTCAACCCATCGGGCCATAACAGATAGTGAGACGAGTAAGTGCAGGTGGAGCGGTATGGATCAGGTGAAGGGCCCCAAGCACCCGTGGCATACAAAGAATACCTACTATACTTATTATAGTGGGTTATAATCCGACACGATTATTCCCATTTGGTGTTTCATCGTACAAGGTTGGGTCGTCTGTTGTAGACGGTATGGTGCATTATCTACAATGAACTCAGCTCAGGTAGTTGAGAAGCGATCGTTGTGGATAATCTGGTGCATTATTTACAATTAATTCCGCTCAGATAGTTGAGAAGCGATTTTTGTAGACACTTAATGTTTATTTTTTAATTGTTGTGCGTAATTTCGGTTGTTATATGCAAGTGCATGAAATCTTTTCCGCTCAAAAACGAATTCCCCAATAATCTATACTTATTTTGCCATTCCTCTATGCATACATAGGCCCCGCCCGTAAAACTCCTATTACTACCTTTCCCGTGAGACAGGCACCTTTGGCTGGCGCTGTGTGTGTGTGTGTAGGGTCCTTCACCCGCTCGTTGCCGGCGGAGCTCAATGGAACTGTCCTTACTTCACCCAGTTGCGGTTCATTTGCCTGCTGGCCTTTATTTTGCTAAGCGAAAGCTGACATGTGGAATGAAGAGTGCAGAACGCGAGGAATGCAAACATTGTAGACTGCTGTGCCACGAAGGCTCTTAGGTGTTAGCACAAAATGTCTGCGAAAGATGTATGTGGGTCGATTTCTTCTGTGCATAGCGCTCCCCGTGTACTTACGTGAGAAGTACACTGAACGTTCCTAGTTTACAACTAACTGCAGCATGGAAGCGTCATGAGAGCACTATGCAGGCGATATCGAGTTCAAACTTTGTACTGAAGCATGCGACAAGGAGAGGAATAGAATGATTGAGTCTACTTACACTGCGAGATCATCGGCAGAATTCACGTCTTTTTCGATCATAAAATTTGTAGCGATGACGGTAACCACAAAAATTCTCAAAATATTGTTGCTTTATCTTAGTTTTGAGCATGATATTTTAATAAGGTGATGTGACATATGGCACTACTACTTGTCCTCGGTGAAAAACAGAGAACCAGTTGCATTTCAACTACATGGGTAAGTGACGCGATAAGAAAATATAAAATTCATGCTTCACATCACCAGGTCCCGAAGGGTCGTAAGGCTAGGTTTAAGGTCGCATAAGTCATGTACTAGAATTTCAAGCGTTGCGAAAAATTTTATAATGGGAAAGTCAAATATGGAACGCAAGATGAGGCGTTAATAATTCAAACTATTCCGTTAGTACTTCCAGCTGTTAAGTAAAATAAATCAAGGGACGACAGTTACTCACTGATCATAGGCTGTAAGGGGGGTTACCAAAAAGAAGGCTAGGTAGTCCACGGACTTGGGGTGAATCAAATAGCTCAGTGCTCACTTGGATTCAGTTGAGCACGAATGGATATAGAGTCTGATCTGAGGAACCGACTGCTAGTAAGGTTGGCAAGAATAGAAATATTTTGACAATCGTGGGGTTGGCGTCCCATCTCAGTTCACTGTCTGAAGACGCTTCTCAAGAGTGTTTGGTTTGATAAGAGCTTCACAGGCTACGTCACAAAGCTTTATATTGTCTTTTGGAATGCCGTTGTATGGGGGCCTTGAGAAATACCGCTCTGTAGACTGTTGTTTTTGTGTACTCACAGTGGTAGAGGCGTCAACTGAAGGCAGAACTTCTGTGAGATCGACAGGAATTCGAAGTCGCACTCTTTTGCCTGCTCCCGTTATACCAGTCACTTCAAGGATAGTTTCGGAGTCGATGGGACCCTTGATTCTGGTCGTCCCAGCGTTAGCCCTACTTGATTGCTGCTGGTTCTGTAGATAGCGAGCAATGTGGGGGATTTCGATGGACACCCGGACGCCTTGCTGGTCGAGACTAAACTGGGCGGTTTCCATCTTGGGCACGTGTCCAGTGCTTAGTTGTGTGAGTTTAGATGTAGCTCGAGTCCAGGTCTCTGTCATCTGACGCTGCATTACGCCGAACTTACTGAAGTCACGTTTAGCTGATTCGCAGATCTCCACATCGGCGTGGTACTTCTTATCACCCACCTGGAGAGTCATGTTGGGTGTGTCACCAAGTGAAAGTACTTGCACACCAGAAACTTCAGCAATCTTAGCATCTAATTCCAACGCAGAGGGTTGAAGAGCGGACTCAGAGGCGATGTTCAGGTTCCCAGCATTTGCCATACCGGCGACACCTACAAGACTGGGTACCAGAACTAAACCGACCTGGCAACCGATCGACTGGGTCGCTGTGCTCATTGACTCATTCAGAACTGGCATTGCTTGTTTCATTTCCATATGTGAGGACCGCCGAGAAATATCGCTGGTGCTGGCAAGTGAGACCATCCTGAAGTGTTCTGGACCGCTGATTTCAGTTAGGTCTCGAATACGGAAAGTGCAACCGGCATTGTGGTCGATTCGTCTGCCCATGGATAAATTGCTGGCTGTGCTCATGTGCGGTGCTGCCAGTCCCGAGCCCACCAGGTTGGGAGCCTGTCTGGATTTGAATTGAACATAACAGGACTCGGGTGGTTCGAAGGTAGCCGCCAACCCTCTGATGCCCAGGTCCCGATTCTCGAGACTGGCTTTACCGGTGGCTTTACCAAAGCTGATGCCGACTTCCTTCACGTCGCGAATATCCATTACGTGAATACCCGAAGTCTCCGCGAGTTTAGAGTCAAGCTCTACCGTAGATGGACATAGGACAGCGTTTGGACGTAGGCCCAGACTTTTTACCATGCGCGGGTCGGTAACGGTCATGTCCATGTCGGCAACTTGCACTACAGTAGGAATAAGTGTGGTTCCGACCTGGCAGGAAACGGTTTTGCTGTTTGTGCCTTCGACCGTTGCTTGACTGACATTTGACTTCGTCGCATGATGTAGGACTTCGTCGGTACGGGATGCCGACAGAGAAGCCACTTGACTGGCCTGCCCAGTTCTGGTTATCGCAACGCTTCCCCTTCCCTTACAAGTAGTACACACGCTTTCTTTTTCCATCTTGTTGACGGTCAACTTACAGCCTAGGTTCTGAAGGGCATAAGAACATTTCAGTGTTACTGGTTCTGCTCGTGAGCTTGAAGAAGTCTGCCCGATAGTGAGGCCAGTCTTCCCCTGCTGCACATCAATGAGAATGGGCGCAGCCCTCTGCGAGCTTGACAGCACCTTCTCCCTTGACACGCCTTCCTTAGCATGGACAGAGACTGCATATACGCCATCACTCGACTGTACCTGCAGGGTGTTCACATCTCTCAACTCCTCGACTTGTATTCCTGCCGTGTCTGTCAGAACTGACTCCATTTGGACAGCGGCTGGATAAACGACCGCACCAGTCTTCAGACCTACTTGATTAGCGAATTCCGCGTTTCTTGGCTGCATGGCCACTTCCGCGATCTGCACTGTGGTCGGCGTTAGCAGGGTACCCACCTGGCACGCGGCTGTGCGTACACCTGTGGAGGATACTGCTGACTGGACAACCGCAGCATGCGAACTGAAAACAGCATCAACCTTCGGCTCTGGTTGAGTGCAATCCCTGCCAATATGCACGCCTGTGCCACGGCAGCTATTGCAAAGGACGCCTATCTGACCCTCGCGAATGTTAAATTCACAGTTAAAGTCCTGCAGAATGTGGGCCTGAGGGCTGTTTGGGCCGACACCTTTCTCATTCACCGTTCTGGCCTTGGCGGCGCCTGGCCTGTCCTGTCTTAAGGAAGTGTGACTATGCACCAGCCCCTTACCCGCCGTCGATTGAGTCTCTCGGGTTACCGACGCAACATTTGCTTTGAACACGGCATTCTGCAAGCACATATCAATTGTGCCCACGTCCCTGATGTTCATGACTTGAATGCCGGCCTTCTCGTTCAGTGTGGGGACCAACTGCACAGCGGAGGGGCACATCACGCGGTCGATACAACTTCCCTCGTGATCGGTAATCTGAAGGTTTGTGTTATTCATTTTCATGTTGGCCATGTGAATGACTTCAGGCTTGAGCATTGTCCCCACCTGCGTTGAACAGGATACAGAGTTGTTGCCAGCGAAGGTCCCGGCACTACGACCGTCTTGGTGCGCGACGAAGTCCGCGGCCAGACGGTCGTTCGCGCAAGAGGTAGTCTGCTCTTTTTTTGCAGGGCGGTGACTCATTCTGGACATGGCTATACCGGTTTCCGCCAGTGATCCTCCGCATGTACCCACTTTCATTTCCTGAATCCGGAATTGACACTCGGATTGGGTTAGTGTCTGCAATGTTGCAGTGTAATCTGCAGTCTTCTTGGCAACATTTACGGTGCCGAGCGCAAAGGCCTTCGAGTTAGAGGTCTTGAATCCGATGACACAGGCTTCCCGTTCGGAAGGCTGACTTATCACCTTTCCTTCTGACCTGGTCTTTTGAACGTCGGCTGTGCACACTGTGTACTCCGTCTGAATGTCAATTTTATTCACTTCCTTGAGATCAAGAATATGGATCCCACCTTCCTCTGTCAACACCGGTTTAACCTCTACTGAGGCAGGGCAGAGAAGGGTATCCTCGGGAAGACCTAGGTGTTTGGCGCTCTCTTTGTTTTCAATGCCCATCTTAAAAGTGGCCACCTTGATCTCCCTCGGAACCAACATGGTTCCCACTTGGCAGCAGACGGATTTAGAAGGTAGTTTGGTTAGTACGTCGTCAAGATAACCGGCTACCTGCGATTCGCTAAGAGTGTGCTCTGTCCGAGTTTGGCAACGCACAAAGTTCTTCGGGATTCTCGGGGTGGAACTTGCCAGGTGCAGATCCACGTGCAGGGGACAGATGCGACCCGACTCAATGTCTGTATTGCTGAATGACTGGTTCTGCGAGGTCTCAGTCACTCCCAGGCTTCTGTTGTTCCCAGTCCACAGAGTGGTGGAAATAGATGTCGAGGAGCTCTGATTTACCCCCACACTCCCATTTTCCGGTACACATTTACAAGTACAGGAATTAATTGTAGGCTGATAGGTGACTGTTTTCACCCCAGTCATTGGCCTGGTTGCAGACTGAACACCCGTCATCTTTTCGTCCGTTTTAAAGTTCGTGCCACATAAAATAGGCTGATTGCATATCTGGAAGTTGTCCCATGCCCGTGAACTGTTAGACTGACCCGCCACACTTAAAGCCCGTCGTACTGTGCCCAGGGTGCCTACCGCGGTCTCATCTGTGGTTTGGGCGGAGAGGTCGACTCCGTTGCATGCAGCTTGGAAGGTATTGTATCCCAGATTTCGGGGCTGATTCTGACAAACACCGATCATCCACTCTAGTCTCGCTTGTGTGCCTATTTCGGCCCCCAAAGGACCAGGACTGGAGCCGATTAATTGCATCTCACCCGCCTGTGCCGGCTGGGCAGATAGGGTAGCTGAACCAACCGACGGATGGTTAGTTTGTAGGAGGGCTGAATTGAGCGACACATTCGTTCCGAGGTTGAGTGAACTGATGTCCTTCTCCAACCCAGCCAGATTCAGGCTCTGGATGTTAGGCTGTGCTTGGGTCATCGCGTCGGAATGTTGGATTCTGCCCGTTGTAAAGTCGCCCTCGATAATTTGATCGCCATTCCTGAATTCGAGATTGGCTGAGTTCATCGAGGCGGCCTTGGCACCGATCTCACAGAAACCAGTCCTTGGGCCGGACGTCTGCATGCTGCTTAAGGGGGGTTTGAAAATTTCACCCACCTGGGTCTGTAGATCCGCTGTTGGCAAACGAACGACAGCACTAGCTACACAGGCCACCTGTTGATTATTTTTCGAGTACGTTTGTTGCCGTAATGTGTTGTGCGCCTCTTCTGCGCCACTCTGAGGTGTTCGTGAGGATCCTTCGATCTGTATGGCAGCCCTGATGATTTGGGGAGTGACCTGTTGTTCCTTGGGTGCCTTAATCACGTCAATCTGCGTGATGCTATCCACCCGACTTCGTTCACTCTGCGTACTAGCGACCTTGCTGCCTTCGCTAAAGTTAGACTGAAATTCCGTTTGTGATTGCCGTGGTTTTCGGAATATCAAAATTTGTGTAGCAACATCTCGAACAAACTTAGGCTCCGGCTGTCTCATCTCGGAGGAACTAATGGCGGGCTTTTTGCGTTTCACACTCACGCCTGTCTCGATCTGAACGGGATTAGGGTTTGCACCACCAGAGAAGACTTTCTGGCGTTGTACCGGCTCCGGTGCAGTAACTTGGATGGGCGAGTGTCGGCATGGTGAGATCTGAATCGCCGGCTCTAGGTAGTCCATCTCCTGAGAGCTTAAAGATGATGGAGGCGTCGGCTCTTGCAGTGGTCTCACTGTTATTCGGCCATACGGCGATGGTGGTTTAGGTATTCGTTGTACAACTGCCATTTCATCTGACGAGACCCCCGAACTTGTATCAGAGCTTGAGGCAAGGCGAGAGAGCACCAGTCTTCCCATGCCCCAGCGTGGGGTGATTATTGACTCGTCATGGACGGTTCTCCAGTTTTGCACGCGATCGCAAAGTTCTTTCAGCTCTGCTTTATTCTGGTCGTGTGTTATCCTAGAATAGAGAGGATACAACACAAAATTTTAGTTTAAAAGCAATAGCACATAATGACTATACAGAAGTCAGACAAAACGATTGAATCCGTCTGGCCTAAAGAGACACAGCGCCAGAAGCCAATTGCTTACTAGCTCTTAAATGCATTAAGTGAGTAGGGATTAAATAATATGCACTACCTGAGACTTTCCAACTTCATTGTCATACTTCGGGCTTCAGTGGCAAAATTACTAATATATTCATTGGTTGCCCGAATATGACCCCCGCTGAAGTTCTCCAACCGTCGGAAATCGAGCATATGCCCTTTTAGACACATCAGAGGTTGGTGCAAAATTGAAATATCGGACTGGTTCCACACCTCATCGCTCGCATTCATCTTCCGACCTGGAAAGCAAATAAGTAAACTTTTATAGACCGAAAGTAGCTCTATACGACTGCTTACTAAAAAGAATCTGGGTGAAACTTCCTATCACGTAGGGAAAAAATAAAGCTGTTAACTACTCTGTAATTGCCGATGCGGTTTTTCCGCAACTTTCTGTTGTTCACTTGCGCTTATGCCGAAAGCTAAAAAAGCACATGTGTTAGAATCAGGAAACCGAACCCAGTTCAGCCATCGTGAACATTGTTTTCGGACAATTTCTCGCAAACCGCGCTCTCATATCTGTGCTTAGTCTGAATTCGGCTCTAATAACAAGGGGTATTAGACAACGAATTTTGTGCTAAGTGTCAACTGACCCTTCCAGGGCATCCAAACTTCGTGCTAGAAGGAGCTTGGCTGTAGTCTTATCAGCACAGACCCTGCGATTCTTCATCGTTCGTCATTATCCTAGCGCTCCCATACCAGCCTGAATCCTAGGACTTGAGTTTCGTGAAGTCAGGTCAAATCAGAGAGCAGAACCCTAGCAACTTGCTTTCAAGGCGCCGTATATTTGCTAGAAGCGTCATTTTTACCCCTTCCTGGGCTCTTACAAGTTTCACATAGACCTGAGCAAGTAATGAAAGAAAACTTACTTCACAGAACTCAAGTACTTGGAAATAACAATGTAAGCAGCTCGGATGAATACGCGCTCTTGGCAGTGCCCACCCTCAGTAAACACGCCTCAGCCCGTAATTAAGTGGTTAGGGCCCCAGACTCGACCTTCGGCCTTAGTTAAATTCCAAGGAGACTAGAGTTAGGCATAAGACTCGGGCCATGGTGGAATTTTGGGTTGGGGTCAGAATTAAGTATTGAGCTAGGGCAGCGTAATATATGTCCTTACGGAAATCTAGAGCAACCCCATTTGTTTTCCGAGAAGAGGGTTCCTATTCCCCTGTCATATCCAAAGAAGTCCACTGGTAAAAAGCAAACATTTCCTTTTATACTCGTGAGTTAATTTGAAAGCCCTCCCTTGCTCTTTAGTTGAGCTGTATGGGGTGCCTGCATAGGGTTTATTATGGAAAATGGTGAGACAGCTGCCGCGATGTGTTCGCCTTGCGTTCAAATCCAAGATCGAAATATGCCTCATTGACCGTCGAACACTGGCTAGTTAGATGAGTAGTCATTTTCACAGAGGAAAGAAGGATGCCACCACCACCTGCTTCTTTATTTTCATCGGGTCTAATGTCTATCGGATGTTCTCTGATTAATGTGGATTTCCGTAGCTTCGATTTGTCTGAAGGTCCAGCAACGCAAAGGCGGGGAGTCGCATTAGGCTCCCATAGTAAGACTGGCTGCCTGTAAAGTAGGTAACCAAAGGAAAGTGATCTCAAGTACTCGAGATTCAAAGCAGTCATTCCGTTCCGAGAGCACCTGCTATCTAGATCTCATATGTGGCATCAGGAAACTCTGCTGATGAGAATTTTCAAGTCCCGGTGACTGTCTTGACTACCACATGGGGATGGCGTGCCTTTTTGCCTTAGAGTTGGCGGTACGGTCAACGCTGAAGCTCGCATGGTCATTTTAGTGTCTCCACCTTGTCGGCTAGACTTGTCCATTGCTAATTACTAGTCGCCAAGCGACTGCCTGAAGGAGTTCTAGGCGAGTATTCTCAAGCCAAAACGGAACGGCCTATTTTCATCCTGCAATGGGGAAAGTCCGGTGCACGTCACGGATATGTGACTCACGAGTATTTCTAATTTCAGACTTCATGAGGCAAGCCTTTAGTTAGGCGCTGAGGGCGTCACTGGATAAGCACCTACTTAAAGTTGAAACCCCGGGCTTACATTGAGCCATTGAACCATCACTTGCTACTGACGCCGAATAAGCTAGATATGACCAGTCTAACATCCTTGCCTCTTAACACATAACTTCTCCATGGTCTTGACTGCCGGCAAGATTGTTTAGTATCAACCAGCCTGATCCTCTAGCGTTTCTGACTCCGTCCCCGATGCCTGGTTAGATTGAGTGAAAAGGATTATTTTGAATAGGGCGCTTGTGGATGGAAATTTTAGATAAACTGAGCCACATCTTATCGTCTTAACTTAGCCATGCCATCAGAGGATAATGTATCAGTAAGGGTAAGGTGGGGTTAATATTGTTGAAATTTTCTTCGCTATTGTCAAATTCTCATGCAGGTTACTGTTGCTCCTTGAGCGGTAGTGTTGGCGATGACGAAGGACAATTAAAAATTTGGCCGAAACAGGAAAATTAAGTGTTTTTGCATAATGCGCGGTTGTCAGAAACAGTTTAACTAACTTAGTAATTGGTCAATATTATTGAAATTATTAACTCAAGAACAAGGGCAACTTCTTTTTTTATATTTCTCCTGAAGAGTTAATTACGTCGACCAAAACGGGAACATAGATATCGGACTAACTGTAAGATAAGGTACATCGGGAGATCTGATTAACGGTCAGAAAGGGTTCATTGGTAGACAGCGTCGGCGAAGCCTTATGACTCAGAGCGCAATTAATCAATGCCATTCTAAGTAGATTTGATTAATAACTTTGCGAGAGTTATGATAGTAAGTTTGATAGCTCGTCGTATCAACTGTGTTTGTAGACTGTTGCCAAGACGTATCTAGTAAAATAAGTATATGTGGTGCATGAGTGCAGCCAAAGGAAGTAGCTTCTGCATGCAGTGTTAACCTCTGCTTCCTGTTACCCTCGGAGTATAGTAAGATTCCGCAAGTCAGGTAAACCTGAGATTGTGGTGCACTGGTGAACATTTCGGCAGACAGCCGAAGAGGAGAAAGAAGGTCCTTTGGACCAAAAGTATTAAAGGACTTGGAAATCTTCGGCAGAGATTTGTCGGCCATGTGCCTTCAGAAGGGCGAAAGAACCTCTACAAAACCTAGGGTTTCCCCGGCAAATTTCCTAAAAGTCTGCTGACCGCAAAAATCAGCAGTAATCTGCTAATTGTATTACAAGAAATTTTATCCATTTTGCATTTTTATGGTCCTCTTTGGCCTCCATAAAGCAGGAGGTTCAGCAAAGAAACCGAGCAGCATTTAACGAATCTCTAGATGGGGCTCCAAATCATCCCGTATGTCCGTATTTACTTGTTGCTCTCATATGATGGCTGTATGAGCGATTCAGTGTCTTATCCAAAGTAAACTTACTCATATTAGCCCCAATGAACTATTCTATTCAAAAAGACCTGTTCATATAATGAATACCTGTAATCAGGGCTAGAACGGGTTGCAGCACTCGACTTCTGGAAATGGCAGTACACACGAATAGGAACCGTCCGTCATACATGTGGCATTGTGCTAACTTCCAGTCAGATTAGAATTAATGTAAAGGTCGGAGCTAGGACACGACATTAGGTAGCCTTCCTGTAATTTATCTCAGGGTTTTCTTTATTATGGCGGGTTTCTTTTCAGGATTCTTACCCGAAGGTTTCATTGGGAGCCTCTGACTGACTGGATGATGCGAAACCAATTTAACATTGATGCAGCAAGATTCTGAAGTAGCAAGCACAACGACTCGTCCTAAGCTGATGGAGCTTATGGCTGTCTAACTGCATAAACGTTGCTTGCGAAATGATTCGCTTTTTCTGCCGTTTGTTAATTCAAGGCTTGGCGGTGAAGGTATTTTCGATGGATTTGTGTTTATTTTATAGATCATTTTGAAGAGCAGAATTTGTCATACTTACTTATACTAATGCATTTATCTTCAGGCTTTATTTGCTCGCATTTCGGACCTCAAGTGGTGGAAAAGTACGTAACAACAGTCCTTCAGTTGAACTTATATCTGGGTAAAAGACATTGGACACGGTGGCACTTAACGATAGGACGTTCTGAGAAGGAACGGCTACCGAGCGTAGGACTAAACTTAGGTTAAGGTTTCTTAGCATAAATATGGGGTTTTGAAAATGTGAATGGATGGAGACGTTGTACCTTTGATAGCAACCGACTGATGGCAGTAATTGAAGCGGAACTGCGTGAAACCGATTAAAAAATACCTTATACCTTATATAAATTCGTTTCTCGTGCAAATAAAATAGGACCACTGAAGAGCTCGACAAGTGAGTTCCAAATTCGCTGCCTGAAAATCGACAAATTCGCTTGTGCGCGGTTACGTAGCGCATCCTATGTGTAAAGAAATTGGTCTGTTTCTCTGTTTTATAGTAAACTTTGGCGAAAAGTTGAAGCTGTACGACAGTCGACGCCATCCAGTGGAATGGATCAAAGTTGCAGCAAAAATACTCTGGCGACCGTTTTTGAATCAAAGACGCATTATCAGAGTGGAACTGACAATGCAGTCGTCGCGAAGGCTGACGTTCATAGTGTGCGGCACTGTTTGGACGTAGGGTGACGATTTGCACTTAAATGCATTTTTAGCGAGGCACACTTGCACAGCATCTGCCGCGCTCTACCCCCCACCACCCACTGACTCCGGTGACGAGAAAGGGATAGAACGATTAGAGGCGGGCGTGGGCGCAGTGGCTAACAAGTCTATGCAGCTCCTCTACGCTTTCCACACACCCCCTCGGCTCCCACGGCATTGCCGAGCTTTCGTGAGGACGGTTCCGACCTCCCACGTGTAGGAGTATCATAAAGGCACATTTAGAAAGATCAACTTAGCCCGACTCTCAGTTATGACAAGGACTGCTTTGTGTCGTCAGTTGGCAACGTTCCAAGAGACGACTCGTGGCGTGTTGTGAGAAACTGAAGCACGCCAGCTTCATAAGGGCGACAAATGCTTTAATGTTCCATAGAGATGGATTCCCCAGCGTCGGCCACACCCTCTTTTTTTCTGGACAATGCATCCTTTGACTGCGTGAGCTTGTCAACCAGCTGGTATTGGGACTGGACACTGTGGTTTACGCGGTGTGAAGGCCTGCGCCTTGGCGTGCCACTACACCCCTCCCATATACAACAACATTTGTGGGCTCGTATGGACGCTGAGCCGCCTGACTAACGTGTGTCGGGAATTATTGTGGCCCCCTCTGGCCCAGCAAATCTACAGCGAAATTCGTTGCGGGGGTCACATCCAGGTGAAACTACCATTAAAGAGAGACTCGGGCAGGAATTCTACGACATAACGTGACAAATGAACAGTTTGGCTTAATTGATTAGGCCATATTCTTCTCAATAAAAAAGCAGAACTTCATGTTCCAAATACACGGTCAACGGCCAAACGGGCTGACCTAAAGAAATCTGCCTAATCTGATATATTTGTTAACCTCTCACGGACTGATCAACAAATTTTCAAGCATCTCGACTTTTTGCAAGCAGCAATCTTCCCTACTCAGGTATTGTTGAATGCTAGAAAACTCAATTTTTTTGTCGTGATATAAAAGGTAGACATATATCTCGTTGAGCAAAATGCGTAACTATTAATGGATTTCTGTTCTGAGACGAGTTATGAGCCTTTAAAGATTAGGATTTAACTTTAAACCTTAATCTGAGTTAATATGATATATGCCCCTGATGTGTTTAGTGCAAGTGACATTCTGTGACTAAAGGAATCGACAGTCAACAAGATCAATAGAACAGCAGGATACTTTGAATCAAAGCAAGCTATAAATGATAGAAACCATTCGCTTGGTTCACATCTGTGAGTGAGACACGTTATAATGCTGAAAAATTACTTTTGCCTGTACGAGTATTCTGTAATGCACTGACTTTGTTTGAACCGCTAAAAAGGACACTTCCGAAGGCACTGAGAATGGGGTTGACATCACTTAATGTCTGGTGTGGATGACCGGTGTCACTTTCCTCGCAAATCCTGACAATTATCCAACTCCTGCTCACCAGTCTCATGCTCTACCTTTTACACACTCCTGCAGCTGCCTACAGCTCCACCCTCACCAGCTCTGTTGCAGATACGTCGGAATGACCCCTCCAGGCAAATACTTTAAATGCAAAAAAATTCGTCATTTCTTGTATAGTTAACTATAATTTTACTATCCAACTTATTTTCTATCAATATTATGTCTACTGCATGCATCTCATAACTTTTCTATCATGGTTGTCTGCTGTACTCGATGGCATATCTAGCGATTCCGTCCAACCCATGCTAAGCACAGAAGACGATTCTGGGGGATCCACTTAACAGAATGCGTGTCACTCCTAAAATACTTCAACCGCTGCAATTCAAAGAAACCTATTCCCGTGCTCCGGAATTACAATATGCGTCGAAGCTAGTGAAAAACTGGCCGATTTTTTTGCAGCCCTTTCGAACAAAAAGAATGCCTCAGGACATTGCGGAATTAATTACCATGGAACAGAAGTTAAAGCACATTGACGGTATACTGAGCTTTGTAGGCAAGTTATGTGCATTGTATTCGAATAATACGTAGACAGTCTTGGCTTTTCTAGGACGTCTGCATTATATGTACACAGTAAGAAAATCTTTTTTGAAAAGACGCACAAATGAGTCATCCCCCCTGTTGTTTCGTGGTAAACTGTCTTCCAAATGTTTTAAGTGAATAAAGGGTGCACTTTATTTTGTAAAGTGTTTTACTCATGTGGATTTCTGAGGCACTATCATGGTAAGCAGTGTTACTCTGATAATATGTACTAAAAGGCAGTTTCATAGGGGTATGGAGGAATGTATGCATTTCTTTCATACAAAAAACCTTACGGGTTGTTGTCACTTCGCAATAATGCAGAAATAGAGGTTGTTTCAGAATACACAGTCTTAAATAAATGTCGTCAAAACCAAAATACGTTTTTTTCTTAAAGTGTGAACTTTGAAAAAGATGTTAACTGTAAAATGACTATAGGACACTGATTTCTTATGGCTTATTTCTACTGTACGATTACGTTTATAAGGACGGTATAAAAGCAGTTTTAAACATAAACATCAAGTTATGAGCTCTTCCAAGTGTAATCTAGGCGGGTGGCTGGAAAGATGCCTAGTCAGAAGACAGCATAATGCAATGCAAAAACTGACTTGAAATGGCATTTTGGCGGTCAGTTTCCGAAGTTAAATTGGGCATTTGTCTATTTAAACGAACATCGGAAACACTCAATTTATTCCTCTTGAGCTTCGACACCTGCCGAAGTCTCAAAACACTGTGAAACATCGTCCCCCATTGCAACCGCCTGACAGCAGACAACCGAGTCAAGCTAGACTAACTGGCCCACCAACAAACCGAAAACTACAAAGTGAAGAGAACAGGGCTGAGGATGCGCTCGAGACCACGTTCCATCACGTCCGCCTGTATCTCTTGTCAACCACTTCTACATCGTCACGAAAATGGATCGAATTTAGATGACATAATAATTCAGACAATCTTTCCGACAAGTAAATCTGCCCGTTTGGCTTAATAATATTAATGGATCGTTTACTACAATGTCTTATTCTGTCCTCACTCCTCGACAGCGGTCTGGATTAACGAGCATTAAACTTGGAGAGCTAACAGAATTTGAGAGAAACGTTCGCAATCGACGATCACCAGATTCAAAAGATAATTTGACAAGCACATGTCGGCTTTCGACAAATTCTCCTCAGGCCTGTACATCCATAATGTTGTGGAAATAATGAATAAACGATGCGGACAAGTAGATAATTATGCTGTAGCTCGGGCTTTAGGGAGGCGGGGAGTGAAACACCAAAATTCCAGTCAACGTCAGAAGGAAGGTGGGCACCGGGACAGGTGATTACATGCAGATGGCAGGTTTGGTGACTTTGACCCATGGCAACTGTCGGACCTGTATAAAGTCCTCATATGCACACAGGACCGATTTGAGTAACCCGACTGCAGTCGCCTCTGCCGTGGCCAACAGACGTTGCCCAAGTAGTTTTCCATGGCTTGACGGAACCTTGTAATTCTGTCGGAATGCCTTTCTGGCATCTACACGGTGGTCTGTGCGCGAGGAGAGTGCTGTCAGTGTTCTTTATCTGACCCTTCCTAACCATGCTGGAGAGTGTTCTTTTACTCTTTTGGACTAACGCCGGCTCGTGCGACCAATACATTCTGCCCCACAGGAGCAGGTGAAGGAGTAATTGCACATAGAGGTGGTCTGAGCTGATAGTATGTCCTTGTCCTCTCCGTATAGGATGGGACTAGTGGAGAACAGTACACGGGTGTCAGCCGCTGGGAAGGTCCGCGATACAGCTTGAGTTAGGCGTCTTCTTAAAAGTTCACTTGGCGCGTCTCCTTGAAATAAAACCCTGGTGAAAAGCCTTTCCTTTCCTGCCGTCAGTATCGGGGACTTTGGTGGTCTTTCGGCCATGTTCTTTGCCATGAATCAATCAGGGTATCCGTTCTGGCGAAAAAGGACTTTCGATGATCGTAAGCTCTTTCTCAATGTTATAAACTGAGCGGATTCTTGTCACCCTTCTTTTCAAAAGTTTAATGGTACCAAATTCCCAAAAGTGATGTTTTTCTCGGACCACGCCTTCTTACAACAGACGCTATGTCGGATACTGCCGTCAGGCCGTCCACTCAGAAGCGCGTCCAGAATGGGAAGCGAACCGGACTGTTCTTCGTCTAGAGTGAATTTGATTGATAAGTGATGCCTGATTTATATCATCCAGTAGAACTGAGACGTCTTTTATGCTTCGGTGCAATTGGGAAGACGCCATCCACGTTCATTGTATCTCAGACCGTTGATCTGGTGACGTAACTGGAAAGCTTCTAGCTTGCCCATGAATATATTCATCAAAAGCGGGTCAAGGGAAGAGTCCATAGCTACTCCGTCCATCTGTCTATGGAGCTTGCTCTCAAATAGGAAATGCGCGTTAAAGGTACACCTCAACCCCAATTCCTTAAGGGTATTCACTGGGATTCCTATATTATGCTGATTGGAAGCAATGAATTCACAGAAGTAGTCGACGGTTTCCGTGACCGGCACCTTCGTAAAAAGAGACGAGGCGTCTAGCCTAAATATTACCATTCCGTTTAGGTCAAAGTCTTTCATGCCGTTAATGAATTCAAAGGTATTCTGATGGTTGTGTGGCGTTAACTGATGATTCAATGGCTAAAGTATGTCCGCTAGCCATTTTGCTGTGGGATGATACGGCGAGTTTCTCGTTTTGAGGAATGGATGAGCCGATGTGCCATCTTTGTGGATCTTCGGCAAACCGTACAACCGAAGTATATGCGTTCCGACGGGTCGGGGACGATCTACGTCGTTTTGCTTATGCAACTATTTGTTTGAAGTTTTTCAAACAACCTCGAATCTACTATCTTTCTCCTATTCTGTCTTTCTGGACTCTTCCTGACCCGACAGATCTGACTGTATTGAACAGTAGATTGTGTGACTCCACTTTTCAACCACTAACCCCACGCTCGTGTAATACGGAAATGGTGGTAATAGGGGTTTTGCGTGTGCGATGTCACCGCGGAGGAGGAGCGACATGCATGCATCAAAACTTAAAAACTAGGTAGATTTCCACTGAAATTATTTTCTATATCTATATATAGCAACGGAAGTAAGCGTGGTAATTGAAAAGTGAACAATGAACAATTCTCAAGAAATAAAGGTAAGATGTGGTTGGGTAGTCCCACCCGATGGACACAATACTGTTTCGTCTGGGTTTAGGGGTAGGGGTTAGGTTTAGGGTTAGTAGTAGAAGTTAGGATTAGGGGTTATGGCTAGGGGTTAGTGTTAGGGGCTAGGTTTTTGGATTAGGGTTTTGAGTTGGGGGTTAGTGTTAGGGGTTAGCGCAACTATTTCTCAACCACTCATAATACACCTGCGGATTCCCAATAACTTTTCTTTTGCATACAACTACTTGGCCTCGTCGCCTGTGCGTTCCCCAGCCCTACCTGTAAAAACCCCTATTACCAACGGTTCCGTATTACAGGTGGCTGGGTTTTGTTTACTTCAGTCGGGAATACATAACCACATCCCACCTTAATATAAGGTAATCAAATAATCTACAAATTTGCGACGGCTCCGGAACCAATGGCACTAGCAAGTAATGTGAGAGAAGAATGATAAGTACAAAATATTTAACCGCGGAAATAAACTGCGAGGCGGCGTAACGCACTTGAGTACTAGAGAAGCTATGAAAATACACCCCCAGTGAACACGGAAAAAGTAAAATAACGTAATTATGAACGTCCGTATGTAGGTTCGTAATATATCAACTACTAGTGTAAAATAAAAATTTGAGGGCAATAAATGCGGATATGTAAGGCTTATGTATAACAATGAAATGAATTTATGGACAGGCTAGGTGATCGTGGTTGATAATTTCCTTCTAAAATACAGACAAACAGCTCCAGATGGAAGAAAAGTCAGATAACCGCAGCTTGATTTTCTGATCAAAGCGAAGAACATAACTGGAGTCATAAATTCGAAAAAGGTGATAGAATACTGCCGAGTAAGGGGATTGCCATCTAATATGACACGATGTCAATGTGGACGGCAGATGCGCCAGCACACCGACGTATGTGCTCCGGTGCGGCCGATGTTGAAAGCTCTGGGGGTTCCAGTGTCGCATCGGGCAATATGGACCCGCGTAGACGGGGTTCAATACCGTCTGCGGTTTGGCCTAGACAACGTTTGGCTAAAGCAAGCGTAAGAAATATCTCTGACGCATATTGTGGAAGCATGTCCGGTGCAATAGATTCTCGAACACGGAATCTGAAGGACTCCTTCCTTAACGCCATTTAACGACAATCTGCAAGTAAATTGTTGTACGTCAACTCAGCTGCATCTAGCTGTCTTATTACTGGTTATGCGAGGTACTACGAACAGGCATTCTCGATTAGCTAAGTAAGCCATGGAGCACGCGTTCGACGACAGAGACCACACAGAAACATCGCGGAAGTTGAGCGTTTGTGTTCTAACCGAGGTAAAGTAAACCAAAAAGCATGACGATCCTCACAGCACGCCTTCTATGGTGAGAACCGACACGGCACAAGGAAATTAAGCTAGTCATTTCGAAGAAGTAAATAAGTCCCGGTGAACACATTCCGACAACAGACATTGTTAGCAAACACCGAGGCAGCCGAGCGTTTGTGCTCCAACCGAGGCAAAATAAACCAAAACGGAGCCGACGATCCTTATAGAATGCGTTGCATTATGAGTACAGCCGTGACACAAAAGGCCTGGCTACCTTTTGAAAGAGACAGGTTGGGGAAAGGGAGGCGAAAACCAAGGGACACCTCATGCCAAATAATTTACCACTAAAAAAGTCATACCGAAACGACTCGGTGGTTGTGGTTATCTTAGTATTCTAGGCAAACTTCGATGGGTAAAGTTATGTAACAATGAATTAGTAAACTAAACAAGACCTACTAAAATGAATATAATGGTTAGTAACGCATATTAAACCTAGCGAGGTTACACAACCCTTCCTTACTGACCGTATTTTTATAACAAAATCGGTCCTGTTCGTCAAAACAACGCTAGCTCCCCTATCTGACTTAGTTATTAGAATATCTTTGTTCTGCAGGAGTTACTTTGGTTTCTCCTGTGTTCTTAACTCCAGATGTTCGTGTTTCTCTGTCAACGACAGCAAAACTTAGGACCAAGCGACAAGGATTCGATCAGAGTTTTATCGACAGATATAGACGAGTAATCGCGACGTACCAATTATAAATCAGGATCGGAGGACAAAAATTTATAAACTTACCACCATGAACGCGCAATGTTGACCTTATTTTGTTGTACACCCTTGCCAATCTTCCGTCATCTACGTCTGTCAAAATCAACTGTCGCTCGAGATCTTCCAGAAATCGATTGGCTGCCTTTTCGTCGGTAGTAGAAACATTCTGTAAAAAGACGTGTAAGATTGTGTGGGCGGACATTATGCAGAAAATGCTTTAAAAGTCAGTTAAGGCGCGGTTATGCGAACCTCATGGGCTTAGAATTTTTTTTAAATGGTAATAATCAGACTGGGGTTTGGAGTTGACTTCTTGCCCGTTAGCCCTATCACATTACTCCAATGATTTCTACTAAGACCCAAATGTATCAGTTAAATCTCTCCCCTTTACGAGGTCCTCTACATTCGGAGGCACTTTCAGCCGTCCATAATGTTACAATACTGAGTTTCAAATGACCTCGTAGCCCAACTTCCACCATAGGTAGGCAACAACATGCGACCTGCCCATGATATACTTACTTCAAATTGCAGAACACTTCCACTTTCCACTACTCACCCAATTTGTCCAGTCAAAGTTCCCATCGCTGAATTTACGGAAATTGTCAAAGGAGTTCCAGTGTTTGACGACCAGATCGCAGCTTGTGCTGGTTATTCCATCGGCGTAATCAACAATAGGGAAGTGGCACAATTTCTGGCATGCCCCTCAAAATTTGACCTAGTTTTAGTGTGTTTACTGCACAAAAACCTTCACAATATCATGTATTTCGAACGCTGAACATATAAGCAATACAAGCTCTTCTTCAGTTAAAGTGGAAGAGGCCAAATCCGCACTCCCAAAAGTTAATTTTAACTAGACAGAGATGCCCCAACGAGACTCACTTACCGTTAGATTCTTTAGGTACTTGTAGTACAGATGGGCGAGTTGTTTTCTGTAATTAGTGAGGCATCCTCCCCAAGTCCTTAGAATTTCGGCTGTTGTCCTGAAATACGGGAAATAATGAGAACTATGACAGTCTTGTTTGATTTAACAGGAAAAAGCGGAGCTCAGAAAAGTTCGAATTGAAATAGGCGCTGGGTTTTTGTGGTTTGACAGCCACAATAGAGTAGGGTCCATGGACCTTATGCAGACGTCAATTCAGCAAACTTAATAAATTTTCATCAAGCTGGAGAGTTAATCGATCCATGCCAATTGCGGATAGGGATCTAGGATGACACCGTCTCGCTTTGGAGCTTCCATCCACTTCCAAACTCCGTATATTAACTGTCGGTCTGAAGTAAGATTGGCTTATATCGACCAATTAACTTCGAATGGTCTTTTCGGTCTCGCATATTTATAAATAGTTAACTGAATTTTTGACCGGTTTTAGAAGAGCTTAGGTATCAGGCCTGTCGCCTAACGTTTGAAAGCTCTTAGTTTTAAAAGTTAAAAGCAATATTCTGTCGGCTCTGCGGGCCTTTGGGGGTTTAAACTGATTGTTTACTGTTAGGTAGACGCAAAGTCTTATCTGAAATAGCAAAAATAAACGACGGTATTTGGTTAGTTGTTTACAAGCAGTATTAAACCATAGATATTTTGTTTAATACACCTCTTGTCATTGAATTCGTATATACCCATTAACGGATATAAGCCAAATAATCCCCTGTCAAGGCATGCTCCTTTTTCCCGAATTTTCGGCGAAAACTTTCCAAACGATCTCGAATAGCTTTTGGTGGTTTGATTTTACAGGACTTAAAATAAACACTCCAGAAAATTGTTTTGGTCTGTTTACACACGACTGAACCCTTTTAGATGCCAGAATTTGTAGGCTTCGCATGTTCTTGAGAATTATCCTTTCACATCATTGCTATACGTTGTTTATTAAATTCTAAGCACAACGCCTAATCAAGTATGGGTGTTGGTTTGCTCCCATGAATAGGGTTATTGCCCATGGTTAAGAACCTTTTTGGGTGGAGTTTGCTATTGTTGGTTGTAAAAAGCGCTGTAGACTCGTAGAACATTATTCTAAAGCAAATGTAGGTCACTTCATTTCCTTAAGTCTTGACTGATGATTCGGGGAATTCGCTTAAATGTACTTACCACCTCAATTTTAGGGACTCCGGTTTTGATTACGAATAAAAAAGTTATACAGTCAAAGTAATATGTGATGAGCAAAAATCGACAAGGTTAAATACATTTTAAGGTCTTCGCTTTGTTTAATGCCCGCGGTTTTTTGAGTAAATATTAATTCTGAAATTGCTCCTGGTATCTTTTCTATCCATTTTATCCCACGAATGAAGAACGATGATCTACAGAGAGTGACCGATATCATGAAATGTTGGCTGAAATTCTGAAATGCGTTTTCGATTAGGAAGGATTACTTAGGCGCGGTTGTAATACTGATTATCTTGCGGCATAATCCTATAATATTTCCGACTCGGCAGGATGTCAGATTTTGAATAAACTGCTTTCCAATCTCCTGTAAAAACTACTTAGTAAAATGACTACTTAATTAGCATGCATTTCCCCATTAATTTTCGATGGTCTTGCAAATTAAAATATATTTTATAGAAAGCAAAAACGAAAATATGCTTTTTTCAGTCGACTGATAGAGAATTACTTCTTCTTCATAGTTCATACGCAAAGACTGAGCATAATCAGGTTTTGAAAGAGTTTCTAATTATGAGATTTTTTAAGACCGCGCAATATCCACTCACATAGCATCGTACCTGTCCACCTACCACTGCTCCTCATGAAATGTTCAACATAGCTCGCACCCATTGCAAAATTTTATGGACTCTATATGATATCTTTTTAAAAGCATAAAGAATATGTTATTTTCTTTACGCGGAACGTATGCAGCCTGTAGACTGAAATAACTAAGCACTAATGCAACGAACGATCAGGCTCCAAATTATTCGGCAATCAGAAAACCTTTAAAAACCTAATTATACTACTTCCTTGAGTATAAAATAGGAAGAAGACGTAATTCTCTATCAAACAACTGAAAGAAATCATATTTGCTTTCATAGTTTTCATAAGATATAGTTGAATTTGTAAGGACATCGAAAATCAATGGAAAATGCATGCTAATAAGGTAGTCATTTTTACCGAGTACGGTTTCTACAGGAGATCGGAAAGTAGTGTATCCAAAAGCTGACATCCTGTCGAGTTGAAAATATTATAGGATTTTGCCGAAATATAATCAGTATTCCAACCGCGCATAAGTAATCCTTCCTAATCGAAAACGCATTTCAGAATTTCAGCCAACATTTCAGGAGATCGATCACTCGCTCTAAGGCCTCACTTTTGCGGAAAGCCTTGCCGATGCGTGGACTTGTCATTTGCTCTGACTTGCTGAAGAGATTTAAAGGGTCAGACATCTTGACTTCATGATAGGTTTTTTCAAAATTCATTGTGGACTATCTTATTTCACAGTAGGCAGTTAAGGACCCTAATAAATATTGATGTATAAATGATAAACGTCCAAAATAAACTATGGAGGGAGTTTTTGACGTGAAATTGTTGTGTATCCATACTTTACACCCGTGCAAGAAGTTTTTCTTACTTTCGGGTTTGTTATCTTATTGCTGGTAACGGTGAAGGTAAAAACAAAGAGTTGACTTCAAACGACAGCACTAAGTCTCATATTATCAGTTGAAAGAAATATCACGCTTCTTTAACAGGGGAAATATGTAGTAAAAAAATTCACAGAAACCAGCGCCGTTTGTGACAAACAGAAGTCCAGCAGGTTTTAGATCGGCAAGGCGATTTTGGTCGATGTTTAGAAAGTGTTGATGCTCTTGACGAACGCCTAAGGTGGATCAACATTCACTGACGGAGATTAGCTACCACTGCTGCTGGATTTCTGTGTGTTTGACCAAATTTCAGACAGATGACACAGCCGCCATGCTTAGTGTGAATGACAATGTAGAAAAGAGACTTTCGCAAAATGGCCAGTTATTAGGGTGCACCATAAGCTTTGCCATATAGGCCACGTGAGTCAGCCCTAGCAAACTTTGTGTGATTTCGAGTCAGAAGATTTTCTAATGTTGCCAAAAACTTCGTCCATCTACAAATCCAAGAATACAGTCGCTGAGCAATAACGGATAAAAATCTTCGAAAAGTTTGCAACTGGCCTAGAACGGTGTTTTAAGAAAGATGAGTTCATATTCAAGTTTAAGAATAAGATGAGATGGGTCTTTGAAAGTTGTTAGGCAGTTTTCCTTCACCGATAAGGAGGTTGACAGATCGGCGCAGAAAACGTAATACTTAGTCTTCTTTAAACGCATCTTTCTCGTGTATTCCCATCAAATAATGAAGTCATCTGATCGCATCCTTGAGAAAATGAAAATATTACATTAACTGCTCAGTAAATCACTAATGGAGGCCTTCTTCGCATTGGTGTTAGACCAGGATAGTTAAACTTCACTTTGAATATTTTGTCTGATTCATACGAAAAGCGCACTCACTCTCTTGACTGCCATTCACAGCGTTTGTGGCATTTATAACTCATGGTTTAGTAAAACCAAAGGATACACAAGCATTTTGGGGCACCGACATTGCTGAATTTGTCGCCAAACGATTTTTGATTGTTGTTGAACGATTCAACAACAATTTGCTGCAAATTGTCTTGTCAGTATACCGACGAAATTTATTAGGTATGCAAAGGACACCAGGTTCTGCTATATTTGGTGGTCTGATCTTCCGTTGCCTCACCATTTTACGTAAAACGAGATGTTTTATTTATTTTCTTGACGACTTCATTTCATACAGGCGCAAATTCGTGTTTTCGAAAGCGGTCACATACTTATTGACATAATTTCATGTTTGTCCAACCAAATTTATATCTGCTGTTTCTGTAAAGATTTTTGAAATACTTCAGCAACAAAGCAGACACTCAAACGATACATGAAATTCTAGTAACTTAATTAAGGCAACCAGACTTTATTCGTGTTGTTAATAAGAAGTGTCTGTTTTAGGTATGTTGTTGATTAACGAATTTAAGTATACTTTGTAATATGATCGGATAAACCACGAGAGACTTGCACATGAAGTCATGGTCGTGAAAAATGTTTTTAAATTGGTCCCGAAGCTGTAAAAGGACACGATTTCAGTTCCCTTTCCCTTTGTAAATTAAAGTTGAGTATAACCAATGATATAATTTTACCGAGGACGTTTCTGGTGTCCAAAGTGCATAGGTTGCACGGTTTAGTGCAGAGAACTTAGACTAGCACTAACCCGTTGGCATCATCAATGAGTTCCTGATTTGAAGAGATAACGAGACAGGCAATGGAGGGAATGTACATTGCACCCTTTGGAGTCTTCACTTTCCAAAGATAAGGATTTTCGGTTGTGTCGAGGAGCGGAAGGCATTCACCCTTCTGAACGGTGTAATTGCTGCCCACGAAAGTCATTAAGAGTTGCACTTTCAAAGGTTCATCCTCCTCCAGCTCCCTCGCTTTGCCCTTGTGGACTTCCAGCAGACGACTGGAGATTGGTACAATCTTACCAGCTGTTAGCACCAGATTTTGTACACGCTTGGAGAGATCGGCAAAGACTTTCAGACGCTCCTAATTAAAGATAAAAAGGGCAGTAGTGGAGACATTTAACTTTACTTGCGAAGGAACGGCCAAACGCACCAATAACCCGACAGACAGGGTGAAAGTCGGCCGAAAAACAACCATGATCAACAGAGAAACGTGTAATACAACTGAGCAAAATGATACATTTGACTTGGAGTACAAAATAAAGTTTGGAAAAGTCTGAAAAGCTCACTATTATTATTTAACAAGGTATGCGCTTGAGCTTGGTTCAGGGCTATAACTGCTACAACATGGACCATCGACTAATTTAATGAGATCGAGTATATGCACATAAAGAGTGCCATCTTTTTGTACCTCCTCACCAAAAACACTCATTGACTGAGAAGTATATATTTAGATATCGTACGAATCATTTAGGAAACCATCAAAGAATCAAGTGCCCATGGCATGACTTTTCTGGGTTAGCTAAGAGGTTGTAATGAACACTTAAGTCGAAAACAGAACCCTTATAGCGAAGACTGGGGGACCCTCTGAGGAGTCGAACCTCTCGTAATTGCGTCAGGCAACAGCAGCAGCACCGATGAAACAGGCATACGGGCTTTTAGCTAGTGCCTGTATCATAAGTATGGCAAGAATATCTGTCACGAATCTTCTCTTCTTATCTTTCTTATATGTAAAAATGGAAGTGTTTTTCCGTGTGTTATAGGTAATCTCGGAAGGTACAGCACCGATTGCTCTGAAATTTAGACACAACCTCGCCTGCGCATAGGGCCAGATTTTTTATGCCTACTTTCATAATTATGCAGATGGCACGCCTGTGATGGGTAAAAAACATGCTTATTTTCTGGCATAACAACGCCACCTGCTAACGCGCCGGCCTGCGGCCACTTGACCGGCAGCCACACGGACACACATGCGCCCGCCGAGCCACTTAGCCGACATCCGCTCAAACGCACGTGCTCCCCCCGGCGGCCGCGCTCACACCCCCTGCAGACACTTGACCATACTCCCCCCCCCTGGACCGATGTAATATCGGTCGCCAGGCAAAGAACCCCTGGGCAAAATACGCAACTCTTGGACGCCACTTGAACTTGACCCACAAGCCACTTTAAGGGGGCTGTTACCGCTTCCTTTCGGATTCTCGGGGAAGGAGACGAGGACTGGATGCGGTTAACACCACCCCCTCCCACCCGCGATTGCGAAAAAAGTGCTGTATGCGGAAGTGTCTACGTATTACACATGGAATGAGTGTAGAAAATCTTCCGAACGACGCAAACAAGGAGAGTGAGTCGACGGACAATCCGGCATATTCAGCGAGGCGTTAATAGTGATTGAGCATATGTACGTAGAAATCGCGAACAAAATTCGTAATCGAATGGGAATGTCATCACCAAACCAATGTGCTGTTGCTTCGTTAGATGTGGACTTGCATCCTAAGCAAAACTACAACACGGTTGAACTTCTGCCATGCTTGCAATCAAACATTCCTAACCTGACACTGGAGCAGAATGGCATTTAGGATCAAATAATGCGAACTGTCAATAGCGGGATTGGAAGAATCTTCTTCCTAGATGCGCCAGGAGGGACTGGCAAAACGTACCTACTATGACTGATTGTGACGGCAATTCGCTCCAAAAAATGACATAACCCTAGCACTTGCATCCCCGGAACAGCTGCAACTCTGCTACCTGGCGGAAAAAAACCGTTCATTCAGCTTCGAAATTGCCTTTGAACGCGCAATTCATTGAAACTACCATGTGCAACATTTCGAAGACATCCGGTATGGGAAAAGTACTGCAGAAATGCAAAATAGTTGTTTGTGATGAATGTACAATGGCGCACAAGAATGTGCTCGAGGCCGTTGATCGACCACTGCAAGTTAGCGCAGAAACAGCAGACCATTTGGAGACGCGCTGATATTGCTTGCAGGAGACTTCAGGCAAACACTGCTGATAATTCCCCGATCGACAACAGCGGACAAAATAAAGGCCTGCCTGAAATTCTCTTCTATGTGGCGCCAAGTCCAGACGGTAAAATTATGCGTGTCCAGCTGCAAAACGACCAAACAGCTGAGGTATTCTCACACTAATTGCTGGCAGTTGGGAATGCAATGGTGCCAGCTGATCCGACTTCAGGAAGCATTTCCCTACCTCTTACCTTCGGCAATTTACTGTCCTCAAATGAGGAATTGGTTGAAAAGCTATTTCCCAATATTCAGACCAATTATATCACTCGAGTGGTTTATCAACGCGCTATTCTTGCGGCCAAGAACAAAGATGTGTACCATCTTAACCATATAATTCAGTCTAGGATTCAAAGCGAGGCAGTCACATACACGTCCGTCGACAATGCTATGGAAGCAGACGAGGCAGTTAATTATCCCACACAATTTCGGAATTCACCTGATCCGCCAGGGATGCTGCCGCACGCACTGCAATTAAAAATCGGTGTGCCGGTTGTCATGCTGCGTAATATCAACAGGCCGAAGCTTTGCAAAAGCACGCAGCTTGCAGAAAAACCATCAATGAACAACGTCGTTGTTGCAACTTTCTTGACAGGACCTTTCAAAGGTGGACATGTCCTTATTGCTCTCATTCCACCGATTTCAAATGACGTGCCATTTCAATTTAGGCGACTGCATTTCCCAATTCAATTGGCATTTGCAACCACCATCAACAAAGCTCAGGGTCAATCTTTAGAACTGTAGGGTTTGGATCTGCAGATGGATTGCTTCTCACGTGGCCAACTACATGTTGCGTGCACCAGAGTCAGTAAACCAGACAATCTTTATATCTGCATAGACCATTGTGCGAAAATGTTATTTTACGCCCACAAGCATTATGAAAGTAAACATATTAGGAGCGTGTCCCTTCCTCTTTCCTTTCATTTCCATTTTATCAGACCGAGCCACAGCAACGCGTGGCTGAGTCCAGCGGTTTCGCCAGTAACTTAGGTAAACTAAAATGTGGAACTAAGTTCGCACCTTCGGAAGTTTGTGGAGGAGAAAATGGGAAGGCGAAGGAGCTTTGACTTAAAGTATTTGAGCCCTTAAAAGTCCTGTAAGGTGATTTCCACGTAGGATGATCGGGCTCTTAATAACGTGAACATAAGTCACAAACTGACCTGGAAAATGGACAATAAAGAAGCGGTAGGAGATCGCCACGCTAAGTAACTAGTAAAACATGTAAAAGATTGTTATTCATTCAGCTGAGAACTTGATTAGTTCTGCATTTCACTTTTAAAGTCTTGTCACCACTGATATCCTTACATGTCGATCTAATGGTTTGTTCAACAAATGTAAAATGCAAATCTCGCATTTTACTGTTTCCAACATTTTTGAATCTGTTTAACTTTCTTCGAAACCTATACTGGATAATTTTTGTCAGGCTTGTGGGCAGTATGAATCAGAGGTTGTCGAAAACTTCTATTTTTCGTGCGATCTTGAAATTCTTTAAGTATAATTTTCCGTTTAATTGCTAACTTTCCGTAAAGGCTTTCACTGTAGTTTGTCCATTACTAGAATGGTTTGTATAGGAGACATACGCAGACACTATCGGGACTCATGAAATGTTAACCGAAATCCTGAAATGAGTTCTCGACTCGAAAAGATTACTTAAGCGGGCTGTAATATTAGTCACCATGCAGCATAATCCCGAAATATTTCAGCTGCCTAGGGATGCCAGCCTTACGTTTTCTTCAAATCTTAATCTTGAAGGAAGGGTAAAATTCAGTTTTAAAAAACTTTTCCAATTCCCGAAAGGTTTTGAACCCGACCTGCCTTTACAGTTGCACTCGGGGCTTCGAAACTATAAGCTGTATGTCTTCCGTGTGCAGAAAATCATAAATTTCGATATGCTATTAAGAGGAGACCGTACAGAGTTCGTAAAATTTAGGAGTGAATTTGATGTATAGTGTAAACTTTACAAGTAGCACTAGGGAATTCAGACACACGATGTTTTATGAACGGGCATTTCACAGTCATAAAAATCTCATAATTGGGAACATCTTTAAAGCCGAACTGTATCCTTTCTCCAAGTACAGAATTTGAAGAAAGCGTAGTTTTCTGCCAAATGAGTAAGATAATGAATATTATTATGTAGATTGACAATGAAGTATGTTTGAATTTATAGTGGCATCAAAAATCAATGAAAAGAAGTCACACTAGTTAAGTAACCACTTTTTGTTGGGTGTAGCTTTTCCAGGCGGCCGGAAAGAAGTTTTTTTCAAAAGCGGGCGTCCCGCTGCAGCTGAATTATCATGGGATTATACTGCATGATGATTGAGACTACAATACTACTCAAACAATCTTTTCGAGTCTAAAACGCATTTCAGAATTTCGGTTAGCATTTCATGAATAAGCGCATCTACTGTAATTACGGGCTTGTCTAAACCAATAAAACGCCTTCTCGACACAGCAGGAATTGATTGAGCAAGTGTCTAAACTGAAGTAGTCGCCAGATTGCACGCACGTATTTAAAGGGTCGAAGAAAAGAAATAAATGAAAATTCAACTGCAATAACAGTGTGGACTTCACAGAAGTCTTTATATTCTCTTACCTCCATCTCCGCGTACAATTTAGATGCCTCTCCGATGCGCCCCTCAGGCTCGAAGTTAGTTACGCACTTTTCTGAAAGTTTGAGCATTTGTTTCGCGTGACCACGAATCTCATTGATGGAATGATTGAACTAAAAATGGAGGGGTGGTGAGCTGTCAAGTCTTTGGTTGACCTACCTGATGGTAGTCGGCGGCAGCATTCAAGTGAAGAGCAGCAAGACCGCTGAGTTGTGCAGTGTATTCCCAGCACTGCTTCACATTTTCATCCAGGAGCTTTGGAGAGAAAAGCAGGTACGATCATTGCCATATTTACCGGTTGATAATTAGGGCATAGGCTATTTTCTCGACTGGACAGGACCCTCAGAGTTCTGTCCAGAAATTCATGCTAACATTCTCTTAGAGGTATAAACGTATAACTTCTGTAGCCTGTGGGTTGGTGAAAGCAAAGAAACGCAATACAAAGGTCCTCAAAAAATTCACCCAATTGGAATACTACTTAAATAACTCCAATCGAGTGTTGGCGATTACTTGTATACAAACCATTCAGCCGTTGAGATTTTAACCCACTATAAGGGCCGGTAGAATCACTAGATTATATATATATATTCTAATTTCGATTAGGCAGAAAAAAGCAAAGTCAATGGATTGAATTCTATTACGGCGCATTAATGGGCAGACCTAGCTTCGGAAATCTTATCCGACCAATATTCCAATACGATTTTACAGGCTTTGTATTATAACGTACAGCGTTAATGAACGTTGCGAAAGTTACATAAAACCATTGGTAATCAAGGGCAATGTAAGTGAAGTATGCCTCTCGTTTCCGTTTTCGAGTACTAACTTTCGGTTCGACATAAATGAGTAAACTCTGTAGTCCTGAAATTGAGTCACTTTATATTGAGATCGTGAACTCGATTGTATTTATTTAGGATTTAATTTCCTCCACATATTGATGAAGGTCGCACTCACCAATGCCTTAACCCCCCACATTTCACCTTCAGAACTACAGAGGACTGACAATAAAGTATCACGGTTACGGTAGTGCCATCTGCGTGTCTCCACTTACTGAAACAGTACCCTAGATTCCTACTTGTGCGATTATGGTAGCGCGATTCCATAAAGAAATAAGCGTCCCTACTCAGGCCAACCGTCGATGAAAAGCCACAATAACTTTCCGTTTAACGTGCGTCAGCAGCTGCGGGAATGCACCACCTGCATTGACGTCGTTACTGGCATCAGAATGTTATTCCCTCCGGCCTACACCAATATGTTATCCTGTGAGAATTTGCATCTGTCGGTTCGACTAGTCTCACTCTAGGAAGACTATAATGAACGTCGTCTGTTTGGCTTTAACTCTGAAAAGCGCAAGGGAATTTCATTCTCACGTGTTCACAGCGTCATCTGTCTCCAGTCAGTCCCCAATCAGCAATTCCAAAAGTGTTGTCACCGATTTGCAGCATAAGTGTGCACATGTTTGAGGTCGAATGAGACATTCGCAAAGACTCTTGAGTCTGAATGTGCAGGACTGAAGATGAGAGATCTATCGACTAGGCCGCTCCAGTCTCCAGTATAAAATAAGTCGGCAGCGTTTTCCAATTGCATTTATATGTATTTATGGCAGACGTATTATACCGTACTCCCGACATAGGTACTAACTAAAAGCCCAGACACGTCTTTTGCTGATATTCTGCCGCTGTGTGACACAGCTGTGTGGGTTTGGGCCCCGCCATGGGTACTCCATCGTTCCCTATGCGGTTTCTGGCATACACACTCCAGAGAATAATCAAGCGAATAATTTCAGAGAGTATTTAGTGCAGGGCATGGAGGTAAGTCTCTGGGACATGGCCCTTTGGGGTCAGACCCGAAATTTCAATAAGCATTCGAGTCGAAGACAATCAACTACTGTGGAATAACCAAGTAATGTCCATTCTACAAACAAGGAGTACTGCGAGTAGTACCAGAAACCGGATAGGGAACGCGGGGGGACCCACTGCGATGTCTTACCCCTCGCAGCTGTGTCACGCAGCTGCAGAATATCGGCAAAACGCGTGTGTGAGCTTTTAGTTAGTACCTATGCCGGGAGTACTATATAATACGTTTGCCCTATACAGTTCATACTATTCGTAGTACTACATGTTTGTAGAATAGGCATTACGTGGTTATTCTACGGTAGTTGATTGTCTTCGACTCGAATGTGCATTGAAATTTCGGGTCGGACCCCAAAGAGTCATGTCCTGGAGACTTAGCTCCATACCCTGCACTGAATAATTTCTGAAATTTTTCGTTATATATATGCGAAACAATAATTTAGATTCTTTATGTTCGTCGTGTCTACTTTACATAAATTTACTCCGTTGTACCCTATGCAGTAGTCCAGTAGATCGTCTGAATGTGCACACTAATCCACCTCTAAAATTAAAACAGGACTTACGCGAGTAGAAAATACTTTCGTGCTGGTTGCATCTTCACGACTCAGATCAAGAGCCGTCACAGTTGCGGCTTTGGCTACGTCCTAAAGCAATTGTTTGTTTAACTATTTGTTTGCCACCAACTTACCGTAAAAATTCCTTCAAGGCAGGAGATAGACTCTAAATATCTCAAGGTATCTGTGTTGGCTGTTGCGGCTTTCTAGAAATCCGATTGTTCGCGAGATATTTTGGAACTCACCAGAAGCTGATTGGCGCTCCTCATATGACGTTCCGTATCGGGATTTCTCTAAATAAAAAATTGCAAATAACTTTTTGGATTTTTATAATAATAACTTCATACGCACATGCACACATTGTTGGCCAAACCGGACATTTTGAAGGTCACTCATGGTGTTTGTATATCCACAGTTTAATTAAGGATAAACATTCGGGAACTAACTGATTATTGTTTGCTGCACTGTTAAGCAGAATAAAGAGTCGGCGTCATCGATGATAAGCGCCCCATCTCAATACAAAATCAAAAATATGTACACGTTTGTTGATTTTCCATCTATTGTGGCAACAAATCAAATCTTTTTTCAAAGAAATTAGCAGATTTTGTCCACTCCACCTGCCTCCGTGCAAACGAAAGTGATTTTCCAAGATCGGACAGAGTAGAAAAGTGTTCACTCCGTTAACTATCGCACAATCAGCAGTCATGTGAGATTAAGGACAAGATATGTGACAAATTTATCGATAATTAAAGGAATAGTTTAAGCATCAAAATACAAAAAAGACAATTGATACTACCCAGCGTAGGTTTTCCATCTTGCCTATTGCGTGCGCCGTTATATTTTTTGTGGTTAAAGCTTTCCCATTGGCAAGCATTTCTTGGGGTTTCTTTCAGTTTTGGATGCAATTTTAGAGCTGCTAAAAGCTGTTGGATGTTTTATGTTCTACAAATGCAAGGCTATAGACGAAGTGGTCTCCAGCTTACAAACACCCTAAGTTGTAGAGTTCGCAGAAAGTAGACACACGAGCGGTGAACAAGGATTGATGCATGATAAATGAATAAAGTCTGTATTTTACGTCATGCCCACTTGCTCTAACTTTTGCACGTGATATCGGTGGAACTGTCAGGTCCATCAACATAAGGGTTTTGAAGACGTAGTCTGCTTTATGAAAGCAGCTGAAGACCTTGCATATGCTGAACACGAAACCCCCAACAGACTTATCCAATCTTAAAAGTGCATCCAAGGACTGGAAGAAATGTCAAGAAAGTCTTAGTCACCAGATGTATGACGATGAATGAAATAGGCGCGGTAAAAAATTTGGTCGCATTTGGAATTCTGATGTGTGCTGAACTTGTTTACTTCACATTGACCATATTCCTCCTCCCTTTTGGACTGTACCCCCTTGTTTCTTCACATTGCTGACAAATTTATTCTTTATTAATTTACAGGTCTTTTATTTTATTCATCAGTTTTGGAGCTCCTTCGCAATGACTAGCCCTTCATGCAGATCGATATTTCAATCGCCTCTCATGATTATTAATTGTTTCTGATAAGTAAATCCCCCCTTTCATCATTGATAATTTTTCTACACATATTACCGCGAACCGGCACGATCAGTAGATACTTGGTTGTTCTGGAATGTTGACGTTAGTAAAAAATAAACAAGTCTTTGAACCTTAGACGCAACTTCTTAATAATTTTTCTCTACAGATATGCTAGCCAATGCGTACTCTGCATTTTTTAATTTGTCAGAATGTTTCTTTCCGTCTGGTTGGTTTGCCCGCCTATGAGATGCAGTGGACCTCAGATGGAAAACTGTACATTTCCATGACCTACGGGTTTCAATAACAGCGTCTTCGGTTCTTCAGCATCCATAAGAATAGACCGATAGACGCGTTATGCTGAGGACAAGAAAACCGCAATTATGAAACTTTTATCAGCAATTACACCTTGGGTCAGGGAAAAGAACTAGCTCAGCGTACCGCTAGCCGTCTGCATATTTCCGCCGACATCCGGTTGTTAGTTTAGTAATATGAGCCACGTTTGCATACTTTGTTCAGACCTGCTAATCCACAGCTAGGATATTGGTTTGCGTTTCAACTGTCATCAGGCCTCTCGTATATGGCTGGACCTAGTCCACCCATTCACACAGTCCGACATTTGTCTACTTAAATTATTTTAATATCGTTTACCATGTAATATTTGCCTTGGCAGCTTTCATTTCCTCTGAAAGCCATTGTATTGAGGTGTCGACAAAAGCTGACACGTTTAAGGTTATCTGGGAAATGACATACTTCCGAAGAAATTCATCTGGCTGACTTATACGCGAAGGATTCGAACATGTGCACCGGTATAGAATCATGTGCTAAGTCCACTGTTTTGCAAACATTCAGCTCTTCGCCTGATCACCAGTTGATCCTGATTCTGGATAATACTTTTGGAATGAATTTTGAAGTATGACTCTTTACACTGCTGCTGCTGCTAAATACATACTCATTCTTTTGAGATAAATTTTGTGCATCTTTTGCATACCAGTTGCCTCAAAGAGGCAATGATTGATTCGATTTTTTCTCGAATTCGACTGTTTCGTTCACGTTCCTCATCAAGAGCCGAATGACTGACGCCGACGCTGAACTCAAAGACGTCCAATTTGACTGATTTCTATGGTGTAGAGAAAAAATTAAAAAGTTGCGTTAATCAAAATGAAGTCCTTACCTTCACAGTTATGCAATATAATAGAGCTAACTGACAAAATGGTTCAGGTGGCTGACACATGGGAACGTCGCTAGCCAAAACACTCCTTTTGCGCTTGCTTTTTCAGAAGTTGGGGTACTCTCGAAGCAACTCAAACCTACTCTTGTGACCATGCAATAAAATAAACGCAGTCAGGTTTTGTTGCTTATAACTGGGTCGTAAACGATGTTCATATTGGAAACACTTTGAGACGTTAACCGAAAAAGGCGAGATTGCGAACAGATCGCATATCCTTTAATTTAGGCCCGACCTTAGTGGGACACCAACAACCGACTCAGAACAAAATTCAGCTGCATCGGCTACAAAAACTGCGTTTGATAAAGACGAAGGAGGATAACCCATATATCATAGTCTTCTTGAAGGCATTCTAGCCTGTGTGCGGTTACCTTCCGTAAGGAAACAATCGCTCACTCATATATCGTCAAAATGTCCTTCCCGTCGTTTGTGCAGAGACAAATGCCCCTTGATAACCAAACGAAGCTTCGAGGAAAAGTGCAGTCAGATAAATTGATCATAAATATCACTAAAGGCACGTAATTATTTCGTATTCGCGCCGCCTGCCGCTACCATTCCACTAGTCCTCTGTAACATGTCTTCGGTAGCTGATTAACCAGCTACAGGTATTTCGGTTAGTATTTGGATCGGAGATAATTTGTCTATGGAAATAGGCTCCGCCCCAAATATTTTTCGTCGTAACTAATTCTTCACTTGCACGATCAATTTTTGTATTTATGACAGCCACGAGAGATTTTGTATTATACTAATCGTTTAAATTTTCAGCAGTTCTCCCTCGACGATCAGCCCTATGTCAGTTTGCCGCGCAGCATTAAACAGACCCCTGTGTTCGTCGCCATCGACGGTCCGATAAAAGGACATCAGACTGACTTTTGCCATTGGTCCGTATTGTCTCGCACAGTGGCAACGGCCCTCCACCGCCTTGGACAGTGAGGTGAAGAAATTTAACTACGGACGTTCCGCTGACTCTTCCGCAAATACTGATTTGCCTCCTTTGTCTTAAATCAGGCCGCGATTCGTCGGTCCGAATGACCCGATTTCGCTGTATATTATGCTATAAGTAGGGTCACAGCGACCACACAACTGTTTTTCTATGGACAGAGTTTAACGAAAACGCACACTAACTTCTATTTCCGGAGCCGTACACAGGTTATTGTCGATATGCTTCGCGCAACGTTTCAGCAGATGTGAATTGGCTAAACTTCTTAGCTGTCAGCAATCTCTTGTCTCCATCGAGTGTTTCTCCCTGACTGCCTTCACGAGCTCGTGAATAGGCACCAGCCCTCTTACAACGAATACTTCACGGTCCCAAGGTTCTACTACCACCTGTGGGGATTTGCATGCTTGGAAAATCCACCGGCACACGGAATACAGTTTTCTCTCGAGCTCATTAGCGTCCACCTGCTGCTTCTCAGCCGCATCGGTCAGTGCACGTCGCGTTTCACTTCCAGCTTGGGAATGCGTCATCCGTAGTAGCCACTTCACTTGGCTCAGAAGGTTCTTACCTGCGGCTTGGAGGCTCCAGATGCAAGAACAACAGTATGATTAAATTTTTACGACCTTTTAGGGGATCATTCTGCTCTTTTTAAGTTTATTGCACAAAATTTCGGACCAGGTACCTCTAAATGACGGCATGTGTTTTGTCTTTTTGTTACGTTAGCTACTGCTAGTGCAACTATATGTTCTGACTTAAACAAGAATTATTTCTTGTACATATCAACCTGGGTGACAGATAAGAGCCCTATTCCTCATGCAACCTAAAATTCTGGCACATTATAATGCTTCTGACGTTCGTGACAGTGCTCACTTTCTAATGACTAGAAATATTTATTTTACAGGAGTTTAGGCAGTATGGAACGCACACAACCTGATGGAATGTTCTTAATCATTGAAAAATTTGGACAATTCAAGGTGCCCAACAGACTGCCAAGTGCGAGTATATGCTTTTCAAAGGCAAGAGTTTGGTCACTGTAATCTCAGCAAGACAGATTTTAGACCGCAAGGTAGAATTGATTCGGGAGCCAGGGCTAGGGGAAAAGAGATCGTCCGCACAGCCGCCGGGCAGACACTTGTAGCTCAGTAGACTTGGTGCCCGACTTGCGTTTGGGGGTCGTCGACTCGACACCGTCTGGTGACACGTTTTCTAGCTATGCGATTTTCCTATATCGAACGGTCTATCTCTGAGATATCGCGGTTTTTGAAATGTTTTTCGACATATACGAGCAAACATTTGTCAGTTTAAGGTAAACATCCAAGTCAAACAGCTAAAATTCTGTTTTGTTTGATGAACGGGTCGAACACGGCAATATGGACCTCTCCCGTACTACAGGTGGCCTTGCGCTAACTTCCAGGGAGTACCTATTCCCGCGTCCTATCTTTAAACATAACCCGAACGCTAGTCTTAATCATGCTAGTCCTAATCTTAATCCTCATACGCCCAACCTTCCTAAACTTATCCCCAAGTCTATCAAAACTCTAAAAGTAACCCTAACCTTTTCTCCCTTGAAATTTTGGGCAGGGGTCCATGTTTGTGTACCCAACCCATGGACATTCACAATTTACTTATGAGCAGGAGGGCCAGTTATTCAAAAGGTCGTTTTATTAGCGATATCATTGTAGGGAGTTCTGTTTATTTGATATCCACTCGTATTCAACCCGCGCAGTACCACCTGTTAGCGTCCCTTCCCGAGTAGGGAGAAAATGTCGGAATATTGTGCTTATTATTTTACGACATTTAAAAACTGAGATGCAAAGTTGCTTGTTTATAAACTAACTTTAGTTCTGATCATTCCTTACGATGTAGTGGGAGATTTTGAAAGGCATAGAGACAGGACGATTTTCAGAAAAAGTCGGCAATAGTATGTTAATTGTTAACGTACTTCTATATCCCGCAGTTGCCTCAATACGCTCTCCAGGGCTAAAATAAAAGACAGCTGAGAGTAGATGTGGGACCAAAAGGAGGAATTTACTTTTATTTTGCTTTTTGAATCTGCGTGTGGAAAACATGAAAAAAACTTGAAAAACGCCTGAGTAATATGCGGTTATGTAGCCCCGCCTGATGGACATAATACTGTTGGATTAGGGTTTAGGGCTGCGGTTAGGGGTTAGGGTAAGGATTAGGGGCTAAGACAATTGTTTCTCGACCATTCAAAGTATATCCGCGCATCCCCAATAGCTTTTTTGCATACAGTTGCTTGACCTCGTCACCTGTGCCTCCCCTCGTACCACCTGTAAAACCCCTATTACCACCGGTCCTGTATTACAGGTGTCTGGGGTTTGTTTACCTCAGGTGGAGCTACATAGCCCCACCTGACCAACATCTGCATTGAAGTTTAACTGTCAGTTTAAGTCAGGTTAATGTGTTCATGTGAACGTTTATTGCTGATTAAGGCCAGCAAGCATGGAGGACCAAACCATGACTCACACTCAAGTTTAACTTGTATACCAAAGAAACCCGCTTTTGCTTTGCAAGATATGTGTCCCTATTTAGATATCGTGGAGTAGCCGGCATCAGTTAACGCTGTGGTGATGGCTGAATGCTACTGTTACGATAAAATTTGCTATGCAGGCTGGAACGCCTGTGATGGCGCCACCTCATTTCAAGTCCGCTATATCATTGACATATACTCTTGAAAAACACGTCAGGTTAGGAGAAGCAGCTTTTAATTATCAATGCAAACACTGGATGCAATTTCCCTACTTCACGTCATAAGTCCATGAAGGGTAGTTCACAGATGCCTCGAATCACTCCACGCAAGTGATCTCGTTCTTTGACATATTCCCTTTACGGGGACAAGCAAGTCAAAACATTGCCTGCATGACAGTCCGGCGACGGCAGCGAATCAGGGCAACAAAAACAGTGAACAAAATTGTGCAGGGCGAGGCTATCAAAATGGGTGGGTTGCGTAAATGTGCTGGCTTCTCATGCAGTAGAATATGACTGTGGGCAGTAAACCTAGCCGATCAGGAACCCGCTTAGTCGATAAGTGTAACTGACATATAGCTTCGTTTGTCTCTGGAATGCTTGTCATTTACCATTAGTGAATAAACAGGGCTCCATACAACGCAACTTATCTTTTTTTACTACAATGACCCATAACTCGAATGGAGTTTCTGCTTTTGTTATTCCCCACTTTGATCGGTCTCCGAAACAAAAATGCGCTACGCACGTCTTCTGTTGCTGCTCAAGTCCTCGTGATTTAATAAAAATATGTGCACAATAGCATAGGGGCTCTATGGGAACAATTTTAGGCGGAAGTTCATTTTTTGCTCAGAGAATATTTTCAGCGAACATACAACATTTGTTAAGACAACGAGGACCGTCAGCCTTCCGGATAACAGTTTGACGATTTATTTTTTCAAAGGCGGCCAAGGGCACCTCAACCTAAAGGCACCCGCTAATATCAAAACCAAACTTCCCATTGGACATGTACCTACCATACCGAAGCAAAAGTGAAAGCGCAGAAATTCATCGAGGGAATTTAGAAAAATCTTACGAGATCAAGAATGTATAAGGATGTCGAATACATTGTCTGCTGGTAAATATCTACTGTGAAGTATGTCGTCAAAACTTTGCATCGAAAACTTCCATCTGAAATGCTCATATTTTCACTATACAATTTATTTCGCTAGAACGTAAAAGCACCTGCAGTCACTTCGACTTTCACAACATTTAAGGTTCGTATTAACGAAAATTGTTATCTCTGCATCATTTCAGGTACGACGGGAAACTGTATCGCACTTAATAAACATGATTCCATTAAGTTGGTTTCTCAGTCATGAGCATACCCCTGATTATGGACCCTCAATAAGTTTCTCAAGAACTCTCAATCAAATTTATTATAATGTGCAGGGCAAAGCTTCCCTTTGTCGAATGCTGAGTTCACTAGTTACTTTAAGTGCTCAGAACGATGCACCTGATTCGATCGATCAACACTGAAAAGGTTGTAACTGTCAGAAAAAACAGAGCTTGTTTACATGGTAAAAATCAGTTTAAGTTTTTGTTTAGAATATGATGTTTTAAAAATTACTATCATTTCAAACTGCTAGTGACAAATATTTTAAAAAAAACAAATGGCAACTTTAAGCAAAGGCTGTACTCAGACAGCAAGTCCCTACCCCGGACTGTGAAGCCCTGCGCTCTAGACTCCGAAGTGGTCGGATTATTTAGGCATATAAGCTCACCGTCTGTCAGATGCAGCCGGAAGAGAGTTTACAAGGGTTATAATTGTTAAATGAAATAAGCGTCTATCATTCTGGCATGCTGTTTTGATCTCTGACCACCTCAGCTACTTACTACGTTGTCTGGCGAGCGCAGTACAATGCAAATCTGGTAGTGTATCCAAAGGGGCAAGATATTATTGAAGACAGTTTATTTCTCCATTTTTGACCGTAGTTGGGAGCGTTTAAAATACTTACAAATACAGTTGGTCTGGGGTTTACTGTCTTTTCTATTATTGGTCTACGTTTCTAGGCTCACCGGCCCTTTGCAGAAAACACTAGAAAAACGCCTCTGTTTTCATGTGCTCAAGATTATTTCTCATTTTTAATACCTTTCTTATGAATAATATACGCAGATTAGCAGCGAAATCTCCCGAAACCTATTGCCATAGAAACCTGACCATGGAACACTCTCCGGACGAAGAAATAACGCGGCTTAAGCGCTATCTGTACTTCATCATACCTATCCACAATATATGACATGACTCATGAAATGTGATGATCGAAGTCTAGATAATCATTTGGTGCACGTCAAACGTTATGCAATCTATTTTTCTCTTAATGTCACAGGAAATTTTTTGCCCTTGCAGAATAGGACTGCGCCCAATTTTGTCGGTAAAAGATTTTTTCATAGTTGGGCAGAAATCAACGTTAGATTACATTCAGGCGATTTTCTGTTAAAAATTGCGCTGTACTACGGCAAAGCATTTGTGCCTGTTTCTACAGGAGAGAGCATTAATGTAAAATAGAAAGGTTTACCGGTTTAGCTCTTATCTTTTTTAAAAATACTTTATTGTCAAGTCCAACTCAGGAGATTTGTAAATATGCACGTTATCCTCAGTAAACGAGGAGTATTTCTTCTTATTATTTTTGAGAATTATAATCTGTCAATCTATGTCATTTAGTAAACCTGAATGAAACAATAAGTACTACGAACAATCTTTTGTTTTACCTCTCCCTTATTTCCCGGCAAAGACATATATCCTATAAGTAATTGTGGAAATCCCCCCAACAAGCAGTCATTTTGACTTTTGAGCATATAGTGAGACAATTTTTGGGTATTATCGCGAATACCGCCCTCTGCACTCATATCCCCCTTCATGGCTTGACTACAAAAACTGCTCATTTGATGTCGCATTCTCACAGTCTCTGACGATGGCCTCCTGTACTAGACCGAAAGCACAGACTAATACACCTTCAGCCCAGAGATCATGTGTTCATCTTCTTTACAACAAAAACCTGGAATTCGCATATTCGCTTCCAACCGTGAATAGGATTGTATTTGACTGAGTCCATAAATAGGCTCCAAGCCGTAGTCTGCACGCAAACGGACGTATAAACACTGTCGGACGCGGCTTTCATTTTTAACCGTTTTATAGAAATGAACCACAGAAACTGTTTTAGGTAATCGACTAAGGGTATGAAAAGCGCGGGGAACTCGCAGGCAATTAGGGAATGCCCGTAAGCTCAGAGGACTCCAACGTCGCAAGATTTCACCCAGAAATTTTGCCAAAGTCTTCATTAAAACTGCCGGTCCTGTAAAAATTCCTGACTAGTGACCGGCATCTCGACATGTGACATTCTTATCTGCGAACTCGAGCTAAATTCTATTCGTCGTAGTCAACCGCATCTCAGTAAATGCAAAAACACATTATACGCTTTTTAGTGATAGAGTTTTATAACATAATCATATATAAGGCAGCTGACTAGCACATTTAACAGAAAAGGTGAGCTTTCGGCATTTGTGATTTGTCTAAAATTGTTTTTTCAACTAACGGGATATCACTTTTGGTAGATCATTTGTGTTTTCAATTAACTGGAGCTTGCTTATCATGAATTCTGCGTTTCGATTGATGCATTTAAGTCGGTTTCTATAAAGGCTCCCGAGCGCTGATCGAGGATCCTTTGAGACATTTCTCTGAGACTGATGGGATTTACTATCCCAGGGAATTTCAGGTCGGCCTAAGCTACATGTCTGTTGTTTAAACGTACTACACGGATAAAAAATCCAAAATGTCTCTTTATAGACCAACAGTGAACCACGGGAAAGTTTTCGTTCCGAAACTACCTTTGCTTTAGCTGGAAAACTTAAGATTTGTCAGTACTACGGATCGCCTTTCAAAATTATAGGAATGGTCTTTTCTTCCCGACTGCCTCCTGATACTCGCTTCTTCACCTTTGTAGTTAGTTGAAGTTTTGGAAAGTACCCTAGCAAACATGTTTACAGCAACAATCGCGATCTGAAAATGTGCTGAATAACCTAGTTGGCTGTTTACACTTTTACTAATCTACCCTCCCTTATTATTACTGTACAGGCCTGATGATCGATAATCGAAGGCGTACTTCTTCTAACCTGCCTTTCTGCTTAGTATTATTTAAAGTATAGTCTACATTTCGAAGCGTGGTCTTTACACTGACTGTCAGCTCGGCTTATGTGCAGTGAACAAGCAATATCCCTGAAGGGACTTGCTGAATAAGATTCTATAACAAACGATGCATTACGTGATGTAAGTCAACTACTCTTGGTATTTGTATTTCAACGTCATGCGTTCATATAGAGTAATTTCATTGTACAATATGGCGCTAGGTGGGTGTACATCTATCCCAGTTCTCAGTTTTCCTAAACATATATTTATCCTTTACTAAAATATTTACTTATGTAGTCATTCCTTCACTGTTCTGCCGCAAACTGCTTAAAATAGAATACGGAACTTCGCGTGCTAGCTTTTCACGGGACTTTGAAAGTACAAAACAGGTCTTGATCTTCTAGAGGATCATGAGTTTTCACAACGTGATAAACAGACTTTCTGCAACATGTAAATTATTTCACCCAGTCTATGATATATTACATATCTGGGATGAAAATACGATAAATATGGAACCGCTATCTGAATACTCAAAGGACTTATAAATAAACACATAATAAAAGTAGTTGTACACTGTAATTTTAAGTATGGATTTCATTCATCACCTTGCTGAGACATTACTAAATAAACGAGAAGTTAAAAGTTAAAAACCTTATTTTATGATCGGAAAATATGAGGGCAGCCCAGTGAGGAAATCCTTCATTATTAAGCGACTGAAAAGCGTCTGATAAAAAGTCATATAATGTGTCATGACTTGAGGCAAAAAAATCTGAAACATCCTTAATTAAAACAATATAATGGGAGGCCGAGTTAAAAAAGCGTGCAATCACTTTATGCTGCAAAGTCCTTGATGCATGCAGCATATTTCAAAATGATAGAAACCGATTTTTTTTTACATTAATCAAGTGTCTAAACCGGATCCATGGCAGACGTTTGGACACTAACTCGGTGTAAAGAAACAGCAATCGCATATGTAGGTTTATCGCTATTTGTCAAAAGTGGTTTACCGGGTCTCCTTATATGATTACGCAGTGTCTAAATGTTACTATTGATCCTACTTTTAATCGAAAAATCCAAAACAGCAATGCAAATTGAATCGCGAATTAATAAGGGCAATTTGTTCAATTTTTTAAATGTTAAAGATTAAATTAAAAGTGGTATATTTCGCGCTGGCTTGTAAGTGAACGACAGTTGTGCGAAGGGATTACGACTTCCTTCGAACAGGGTTGCCAGAACAAAAGACCGTTTACTCTATACATAGGTCATTTTGCGTTATTCGAAGGAAAATATGCGTGAACCTTTCGACTAGGACCATGGGGAGCAAACTCACATTCAGTCATCTTTTTGGAAAGAGAGAAAAAATCCTTCCGTTTTTCTATTCTTCCAGTGGAAGTAATGGAGGTAGAATTAAAGTATTGTCGCACAGATATCGTCTGTTGACCCGGCCTACGAGCATGTGAGTGTGCGAGCACGAGTAGGTGCGGTTAAAAAGCATGTTTTGGTCCCACTCTGAGTTCACTGATGTGCGTCTGTGTCGTAATTCTGTCTCCTGGTCGCACCCCATTCTGTACTGAAGCTTGCTGCCGCGTATTACAACGCTGACGTAACCGCAAGTCCTACTCTTGAGAGTTGCCAAACGCGTTAAGTGCGGGATGGAGACTGCATCAATGCCGTTGAAAGCGCCGCTCTCAGGCGTAGGCGGCATACGGGCCCGAGTTCTTCTTAGAGTTAACGCCCTTGTATGTGTTGCGTGCAACTTCCTGATGCCTATTGGCTACTGAGACTGAGTCCTACAGACGAACGCGCCGTGGTTCTCTGACCTCTTGAAATGATCAGGAAGGCTCCAAATGAATAAAGGGCGCTTCTGCTGGCAGCCCCACCCGCCTCAGACAGAAGGAAGTTGGAATACCCTCAGTTTTTGGGAGTAACCCTAGTAGATATTCTTAGGCCGGTCGACTGCATGTCACTATTGCGTTCTGTATTTTAATGGGTAATTTTTCGCTTTTACCAAAAAACGTTTGACCGCGTTTTCATAACAGGGACTCGCTAAAATCCTTAACATGCTTTCGTTGAATTTCAGTTGTATTACAGGGAGGCCACCTTCTCGGGAAGAACCGGGCGTTTCCCATGCCACCTCAGGAGTTAACTGGGCAGTTTTTGTTCTGATACACACCTTGAAAAGCTGTCACCCTCGCAGTTGTACTAAACAGGAGCAGAAAATGAACGGTGGGTATGCCTGTGTTAGACTGAGTGCAGAAATCAGTGCATGTGGGCCATTCTGATATTAGCTTTTCGAGCCTGAATATCGCGCTCATACCACTGATTTGTTAGCATTCTCATCGGTATGTAAAAGGCTTGCTCGGGGATGACAAACTTTCTTTCGATAACTCTGCTTAAAGCTTGTCCAGCAGCGCTTGAGAAGTTTAAAAAATTTTATAGTAAACTTTACCTTGCCATCCCCAATTATGTTCTCTAGACCTTTGCCCAAGAAGATTAAAGAGCATCCATAGGGCTCAAAAGAATTGGAACGATCGTATAATGCCTATTCCGTTCTTACTCTTCAGATTGCGCATGAATCCCTTTAATTACCTCCTCACTGCTGACCACCAGATTTGTCCACTTAGTTTCTAATTTAGATGTTTATATTTGCACTACCTCAGCCAACGCGAATCAGTAAAGTGTCAACATGCCCACCGTTTACGTCAAACGATGTTTGAAACTCTTGCCTGGTTCGTTATTTAACTTTTAGACATTCTTGAAATTGAAGGTTTGGGCCAAAGATTTTTCAGCTATCTATTTTTCAAACAGTAACTTCAGCTCCTATGAACTTGGAAACGAAAGGAAAGCTCGGAGTTTTAAAAATAACATTTAATATTTCCCACCCACTTCGCTTGGACCTAATAACAGCAAACGGGATGCTACCCGTTCCTGCCTTACACCATATTTCATGCGGCAGGTTGGCCTACAAATAAATAGCCAACTCATCCTTGACGTGATGACTGGCGTGTAAGGAGACTAAAATACAGAAGCTAAGAGCAAACGTATCCCCATAATAATAACGATTTTCAATGTCACTGTTCTCTCTAGACAATTAGTCACTTGTATTCGGGTCATAATAACTGAAAATATTTCTGGCCGAAATTCTGGAATGTTTATTTCAGAATTGTACTTGTTCATTATCTTTTTTCTCTCTCAACATTTGATCAATGATACACCTGTGGCTGTAAGCGTCAAAAGAATAAAAGCGAGGAAACCCATAAACGACTGACGTTTCAGAATATAATTGCAAATGAATTTCGAGGAAGAGGACAGAAACTGGAAAGGAAAATGCATTTGTTAGTCTTTGAAAACTTATATTTTGCATTCAGAAAGTAGCCCGGACGACCAAGAGGAGTCTTCCGCATGCGATCAGACAAATTAAACTTAATTCTACAGGAATGAATAGTGTGTTTTGAACCAGACCATGGGAAGATGACCTCACAAGGGGTACTTCGAGGTTAGTCATTTACAAGCGATCGGATGAGGGCAAGTCATTATTTGGTAAGATGTGGTTTGGTAGCCCCACCTGATGGACACAATACTGTTGGGGTTGGAATAATTGGTTAGGGTTAGGGGTTAGGATTAGGAGTTATAGTCAGGGGTTAGGGCTAGGGGTTGGCACAGTTAGTTCTCAACCATTCAAAGTACAACCACGCATCCCCCAATAGCTTTTCTTTTACATACGACTACTTGACCTCGTCGCCTGTGCGTTCCCCGGCCCCACCTGTAAAAACCCCTATCATCATCGGTCCCGTATAACAGATGACTGGGGTTTTTTTTACTTCAGGTGGGGCTACCAAACCACATCCGACCCATTACTTATTTACAAAAAACACATTAGAAGGTCCATTTGCTTTCAGAAATTTACTAAGGGCCGACGGCACTAGAGGTACTCTATTTCACTCTGATGAAAAACAACGTTGGAGTGCAAAAAAGTGGTTTCTAAACTCCCCGAAAATATACCGTCTGCGAATCTCTGTGACATGATTTCGGTTGAATGTACTACAGCTTCACATTTAAGAAGTCAAGTCCGGCAAGCGTACGCCTTCAATTATTCATATTCAGGCCTTTACAGTAGTATAAGGGGCGGGGGGGGGCAGAATAGAAAAAGTTGAACATCCAATACAAGTCAATATGGGGAAGAGGCTTGAAGGGCGTTCAGAGCTCAGTACTCAGATTTTAGTTCTGCCTGGGGTTTAGGGAGGTGGAGGAGGAATGTGTATGTCGATTATCTGTCCGTGCTTCGTCGCTGTAACGAGACTTGACGGGTTTGTCCGGGTTTATCCGGAGGAGCTTTATGCGAGCACAAGGCTGGGTTCGCTAACCGTATGGCCACTGCCTCTGTCGTTGTAAATATTCGCTGACGCAGGAACTTGGAGTGTCTCGCCGACACTTTATAGATTATCCGGAATTACTGATTAACGTCTGCCGATGGCCGCTGTCAACCAAGAGAGCCACAATTGAGCTAGAGATAGACTTTCCACCACCGTGGTTTAGCCAGGCAGGATGGGGCTCTCGCATCCGCTCAGACAGACGCCTAGTTCGAGAAATACAACCTGCCCTGCAGGCGCAAGTGAAGGCGTAGATGCACACTGAAGAGGTCTGGAAAGGCAGTCTATCTTTACCTTCAAGGCGAAGAAACGAAGTGCCTGTGAAAACCAGTCTTACCTTAGCGGCTGGATATCTGGGCTCAAAGGCAGCGTTTAAGTGACGATGTAGGAGTTCGCCCGCCAGATCTCCTCGAAATGGCAGTGTGAAAAATAATTACTTCTTCTCAGCCATTGACACATCAGAATTCTGAGGGTGTTATCCCATATATTTGTTGATAAGCTTTCAAGGTAGCCATTTTCTCTCGGAATGTTTCGCATAACGGCGAGCTCATTCTCAAGTCTGTCTGAATTGCATATTCTCCTAGCTCGGCTGGTGAAGCAGTGGACCAAGCCTCGTTTCTGGCGTATTGGGACAAAGCTGTCGAAATTCGTGTATTGCTTTGTCCGTGTTTTCTTGTGAAATGCACTTCTAATTATTCCATCCAACATTCGATTAAGTAGGACATCAAGAAGGGTGAGACACTCTCTGTTCTCTTTTTCCGAGGTGAAGAGTAATGCTAGATGAGCCGAATTCACTTTATGCAGGGGGATGCTCAAATCAAGCTTTTCATCATCCTGACGTAGTCGTCGATGGGCTTCCTACTAAGAGTCATTCCGTTAATCTTTATTGCCTGCTTACCACTGAACCGCGTCTAACGGCACAGCTCGGCTGTGTATTGTTAACATAGAGGAATAAGATGACGTCTGAAGAGATTATGACGGGTTTAATAGGGAAAACTTCAGTGCAAAATTCAAATCATTTCCACCCGTTGCTCACAATTGGCAGAACAATGACCGTTGAGAAAAATACGTACAGAATACTAAAGGCAAGTGAGAATCGCCGCGAGTCGCTTAGCGTTCCTCAAGCTACTTCCGATCATTCCTCACTATTTGCGGCGATTTTTATAGTTTCATAGTAAAGCATTGTGTGAAATTCAAAGAAGGTCCTTGGGGTACTGCTTAAAGGGTCCGCCCACAAAACACGTATTTCCACATTTTTGTCTCTGTTGACGGTGCGATGGGTGGGATTGGAAACTTCAAAAGATTCATGCAATCCTATTTTCTTATGAGGGAGAAAGTTTTATCGATCAAACCTTGAAAACAAACCTAACAAGGAAAAATGGAGACAGTTTGCAATTTCCAGTAGAAGGAATGCTAAAAGAACAGTAAGCAGACTCGACAAGTAGCGCATTTATTGAATATCATAAATGCGACCCCAGCACGTACTATGAGTGACCGATCTCATGAAATGTTGGCTGAAATTCTGAAATGCGTTTTTGATTAGGAAGAATTACCTAGACGCGGCATAATCCTACAGTATTTCCGACTCGGCAGGATGTCAGATTTTGAACAAACAACTTTTCAATCTGCTGTAGGAACTGTAATTTGTAGAAAATGACTACTTAAGTTGCATGCATTCTCCCATTGAGTTTCGATGGTCTTGCAAATTCAAATATATCTTATGAAAACCATGAAAGCAAATATGCTTTCTTTCAGCTGTCTGATAGAAAATTACGTCTTCTTTCTATTTTAAACTCAAAGAAGGAGCATAATTAGGTTTTAAAAGGGTTTCTAATTATGAGATTTTTTAAGACCGCGCAATGTCCACTCACATAGCATCGTACCTGTCCGCTTACTACTGCTCCTCATGAAATGTACAACATAGTCTGCATCCATTACAAAATTTTGTGGACTCTGTATGATATCTTTTT